ATCTTACCTAAATGTGCAGGCAAGTCACAGTGAAATCAGACAAAATTAATATTATTCCCACAATCCTAGGAAAGCTAAGAGTTGGACAGATGCCCCTATCATTATTTAAAATTATGATATTTTGCATATCATGGATTTTTTGCATTAATTTGAATTTTTAAAAAACATTGCATTAAAATATTTACCTTGAGTAGTGTGTTTTTTACCCTCTTAAATTCTGAGCTTGAGATAAGTACCTCACTCATCTCACCTTACTCCGAGGCCTGAGACAGAGGGTTCCATCTGCACAAAGGGTCAAAGCAAGGGTATTGGTAAGAAGCAAAACAGGAGAAAATTATAGAAGCATTAGTACAATGTTAAGCCAAATTAAATCAGGAAACTAAATGGCATATTCATAATTTGCCTTTGTGTACATAATTTATGCCCCCAAGATTTCTTTACTCTGTCATAGAGTAGTTTTGCCCTTTAAGTGCTTGACCCCAGTATGTATTTTATTGAATGATTACTATGGAAGAAGTAATGGAGAGGAATTAAGAAGCATATTTCCTTGGGACTCTGAGATAAAGGCCTTCATAATGAAATGCTAGGAAGCCTTCAATCTTGTGTTGTGTGTCTGCCTTGTCACACTATATTTTTATCCTGATGGATGATGAAAGCACAGAGCCTGCCCCACATCCTCTACTGTATTGCACTATTCTCATAGACAAGAGCCACATTCTCCTGTTGTTGTTGTGTCATTTGGTTTCAAGTGTGTGTTGGGAAAATAGAACAGTTTGGTCAGGCCCCCTTGCCTTGGGTCTGGTTGGGTGTGGTGCAGGACATTCTTTGCAAACTAATTGCATATGTGGGTGGAGCTAGTGCATGTGCACACCAATGTATCTTTTTGGTTTTGTTGCTATTTGTGTGTATGTTCTTGAGAGTGTGTGAAGCAGTGCTGGATGGCAGAGAGCTTGAGTCTAAAATAGAGTATGTTTACTTTGCGAGCAGCTGCTCAGTTTTTCTTTGGACTTTGCCAGTAGCAGTTGAGTTTTGAGTCTCTTTGGACTGCCTAGCTTCTAGACATATGTGTGCAGAAATAAAGACTATTCTTTCTTCAACCAAGGCTCCAAGGACCTTTTTTCTGGTTACCTAGCTCATAGACCTGTGTGTGAAGGGTTTGTGACCCAGTCTGGACAACGGGTTTGAGGGGTCTGTGAGCTCCAGACCCAGCCCTAGCTCTACAGTGTGGATCTGACTGGGACTGGCATTCAATACTGATCTGACCAGAAGTCATTTCTAACACTTTCTGAAGAAGCACAGATATGCCAGGTCTCCTAGTTTGAAGCATACAGCAAAGAAGAACTGACCCTATTACTCCAGTGGTCTCTGAAGGGAGTGGAAGAATCCCAGGAGGTACACAAGATGATGATTCATGGAGGGATAAAGAAAATACTAGAATTTTTTTCACTTGTTCTTTACTTCAATCATTTAAAAATATTATTTTGGAATGTTTTATAATGAACATATATATTAAGATAGTAAAACATTTATATAACTTGCACTTTGATTTTATTTGGGGGTGTATTAAAAATTACCGAAAGGGACATATTTCACTCTTTGAATGATCTTGGGAACAAGCATAATGACACAGGCAGAACTACATGGTTTAAATAATGCTAGATTTGGTCGGAGTCAAAGAACATGAATTCAAATCCTACTCTGCCTCTTACTAACTTATATAAGCTTGGCCAAATAACTTCACCTTTTTGAGCTTTTAGTTTCAACTTATGCTAAATGGGTATATGAGGCTTAAATGGAATAATGTACATAGGACTGAGCAGAGTATGTGGTACATAAAATTTTAAATAGTATATAAATTTTAGATATTATCAAACATTTTTTTTCTTAGAATCTCTATATAAATATACCACATATTATCATTAATAGACACTTAAATGAGGCAATTTTCAAGTCTGTAAAGTAAGTTTTCTTAAGATAAGGAACATTCATCCAAGTATTCCAGTCTAATTTGGGGGTATTAATTATTCCTTAGGCAGTTTCAACAAAATAAAATTTTTGCTTTCTTTTCTTCTATTATTACAGGTTGAGTATTCCTTATCTGAAATGCTTAGGACCAGAAGTGTTTTGGATTTCAGATTTTTCCAGATTTTGTAATATTTGCATTATACTTATGTGGCAATGAACATTTCCTTTGAGCATCATATCAGCATTCAAAAAGTTCTGGATTTGGGAGCATTTCAGATTTTGGATTTTTGAATTAGGGATGCTCAATCTGTATCCCAACAGCACCTGCTCCGTTTCATTTTAATTAATGGCTTTATAAAGAGATATCCAAATATTATTCACAAAATCCTTCTACAAAATATGACCAGAGGTAGAAAACTCTGGCAAGAAATTGCACCCAAATATATTGGCTTGGACTTTTGTACTACTTCTCTTTTGCGTGATTTTTTTTCTTTTTATGAATGGCCTGGCCTTATGTCAGACAGGAAGGAGGTGGAAGGAAAAGCAGAATTAGAAAGAAAAGTTCCACCCGTACTTGTATTTGTTAAGGAACAAATTCCCATGTCACTAGAGAGGAGCTTTAACTTGAGCCTGGGAAGCATTACCTCATGAAACAGAGGAGTTCTCAACCTTGGCATTATTGACATTTTGAGCTAGATAATTCATTGTTGTGAGGGGCTGTCCTTAGTGGTATCCATGGCCTCTACCCATTAGATGCCAGTGTCATTCCCTCCCATCCCCATCCCCAGATGTGACAACCAAAAATGTCTCCAGACATCACCAAATAGGGATCATTCCTTTCCATGAAGTAGTTATAAACGGGGGTGGGGAGTGGGTAATGGTGGCGATTATCTTTTCTACTGTGCACAAGATGAAGTGAGTCTAATGAATTAGGGAGAATTTGAAATCTAAATCCAAATCTTAAAATGTTTCTTCTAGAATTTTTTAAGGGCATACTTTGTAAATACTTGGCCACGAGTTTGTATTATACCTAAAATCACAAATCAGATGATGAGTATAGAGTCAATTCCCATCTTTCTTTGTAAGAGTTGACGTCCTTTACAATTTTTGTAATCTGAGAAGTACAGCCTAAGGGGTTGCCCAGACAATGTTCCCAAGTTGAAAGAAGCAAGGATGTGAATGAGTGGCCAAGGGCCAGGGAGGTTGAGGAAGACCAAATCCTAAATGCAGTGCATTTCATTAGTGCTGATAGAAGTGAGCTCTGTGTAGTTGGTGGCATGAGAAGGGCCGGAGGGTAATTTTCCCCATTTCTTTTTTTCCTACCTCCTTCCTTTTCTTTCTCTTCATGTTTTTCTTTTTTTTCTACCTTATCTCTTACTTCTTTTTCTTCCCTTGTCAGTTTCCTTCTTCTTAGAGTTCCTTGCACCTCTTTCACTATTTTAGTCAAGCACTAGTCAAAGCCCAACATCACTGTGAGTGGGGCTCTGGGACCAAATTGCCTAGGTTTGAATCAGAACTTGTCCTTCCTTGATGTGAAACCTACTGAAGCACAGTATTTAACCTCCACATGCTTTCATTTCCTTACCATAAAATTGGGTATCATACTATTAGTACCTATCTAGAGGTGAAATTAGCATCAACATATGTAAAGCACATGGAACAGAACATGGGGCATGCAGTAAACACCCAATAAATGTCAGCTGTTATGATTATCTTCATGTCCTCCATCAGGGAAGAACACCACACTTTTATACAAAAGAGTCCAGCAATATGTGCCTATTTGTACTTACCGTGAGAGTTATATTATTGGTTTGGTAGAGGAGAAAGTTGGTATCTGTTTCATAACAGGAATCATGCTGGTTTAACACCTCTGTGCTGGGGAAGCTGTGCTGGGGAACACTATAGACAAATGTACATTTTATAGCAGGCCATTGAATATCTCCTTGAAGTACATGTATCGTTACTGCCAGTCTGAATACAACGTTCACAGTACTTCTGTGTGACTGGAAGAAAAGAAAATTTTTAAATAACATAAATGAAAATAGAATATTAATACAAGAAATAAATATTTAGAAAACCTTTTAAACAATACTTTATTTTTAATCTATTATTTTTCTTAGAAAAGACAGTGACCCACAGATAATAGTGTTTAATAAATGACTATTTTGATTACATTTACTTCAAAACAACAGCTAAGGGTACAGCTAAAGTAATTGAGGCAAAGAGAAATTAATGAGAAACAAGTAAATTAGGAAAGTCTCTGAAGAAGAAACATGAATGAAATCAAAACTAATGATTAAGGAAATGCAAAATAAAACAATAAAATACCATTTTGGTGGGGCATCACACTGACAAAAATTGTTAAAAAATGTTATTACTCATTTTCTGTGAGGGTACACAGAAAAAGGTACTTTTATATACTACTGGTGAGAAAATTATTGGCAAAAAAAAAAAAGGAACAATGCTTCTGGAAAACAATTTGCCATTATCTTTCATTATTTAAAATGTTCATTCTGTTGATTGTTTCTTTTGCTGTGCAGAAGCTTTTTAGTTTGATATAATCCCATTTGTTTATTTTTCCTTTGGTTGCCTGTGCTTTTTGGGTCCTATTCATGAATTCTGTACCCACTCTTACTACCTGGAGTGTTTCCTCTATGTTTTCTTTAAGGAGTTTTATTGTTTCAGGTTGTATATTTAATTCTTTAATCCACTTTGAGTTGATTTTTTTGGTATATGGTGAAAGGTACGGGTCTAGTTTCATTCTCCTACATATGATTATCCTGTTTTCCCAGCACCACTTGCTGAAAAGATAGTCTCTTCCCAGTATGTAGATTTGCTGCCTTTGTCAAAGATCAGATGGCTATAGGTGTATGGGTTGATTTCTGGGTTCTCTATTCTATTCCATTGATCTGTGTGTCTATTTTTATGCCAGTACCATGCTGTTTTGGTTATTATAGCTTTGTAATATAGTTTAAAGTCAGGTAGTGTTATGGCTCCAGCTTATTTTTTTTTTTTGCTCAGGATTGCTTTGGCTATGCATGGTCTTTTGTTGTTCCATATTAATGTGTGGATAGCTTTTTAAATCAACAGAGTAAAAATACTCCCACAGAGTGGGAGAAAATATTTGCAAAATATACATCTGACAAAGGATTAATATCCAGAATATACAAGGAACTCAAACAACTTTACAGCAAAAAAAACAAGTAACCCAATTTAAAAATGGGCAGAGGAGCTGAACAGGCATTTCTCAAAGGAAGATATACAAATGGCCAACAGACACATGAAAAAATGCTCAATATCACTCAACTCTAGGAAATGCAAATCAAAACCACACTGAGATACCATCTCACTCCAATTAGGATAGCTAACATCCAAAAGACTGAGAATGATAAGTGCTGGAGAGGTTGCAGAGAAAAAGGAACTCTCATCCACTGTTGGTGGGCTGCAAAATGGTGCAGCCTTTATGGAAAATGGTATGGAGGTTCCTCAAACAATTACAGATAGATCTACCATATGATCCAGAGATTCCACTGTTGGGAATATACCCAGAGGAATGGAAATCATCATGCTAAAGGGATACCTGTACTCCAATGTTTATTGCAGCTCTATATACAAGACCCAAATGTCCATCATCTGATGAGTGGATAAGGAAACTGTGGTACATCTACACAATGGAATACTACTCTGCTTTAAAAAAGAATGAAATACTACCATTCGCAACAACATGGATGGACTTAGAGAAAATTATATTAAGTGAACAAGTGTGGCACAGAAAGAGAAATACCATGTGTTTTCACTTATTTGTTATTAATTAACAAATTAATAAATATAAATAAATAAATAAACACACAAACAAATAAGTGGGGGGGAAGAAGATATAATAACTACAAAAATTCCTTGAACTATTTAAGTCAGGTGAACAGATACAATGTGGGGGGGGGAGGGTGGAGAGGAACAGGCAAAGGGGCATGAAAATCAAGTACAATGTATTTTGAGAAGTAAAATAAAATAAAATAAAATGTTCATTCTCTTTGATTTAGCAATTGCACTTATATAAATCTTTCTTAGAGATCTTTGCCTTTAAGCCCAAAGATACAAATACAAGGATGTTTACTGAAGCATTGTTTTAACAGAAAAAAAACACAAGAAACAATCAATCATTGATGTCATTTATAGATAGAGATAAATAAAACAGATAAATAACTTATAGCATACCCACATTATAAAATACTATATAACCATTTAAAAGAATGAACACTAATATAAAAATACACATAGCATTTTAAACAGTAGCAGAATAATATGTAAAACTTGTGATTATTATGTATGTATATAAATATGTAGGAAAGGATCTGAAATGATATATTTTAAATGGCTAATAGTGGTCATCTTGAGACAAGTGGGATTGGAGTCCTCAGTTTTACTCTGTACTGCTTTTTTAAATATAGTTCTAAGTTTTTACAAGTACTTATCTGAATTTAAAAATAAACAAAGAAGACAGTTTAGTATTTTAGTCTTTGAACTTGGATATTACTAAGGTGATATATGGAGAGCCCATGTGAACTTTCAACTCCAGTATCTCCAATTTGAGGTAACTGATTAAGTCTTGGGATTTCTTCATCTTAACATTATTTTGTGCCTTTTAAAATTACTGTTTTGAGTTATATGTGACAACACAGGTTTACATGAGCTTCCTCTAAATTTCTGGGAGGTAACTGGCAATTTCTATCTGTCAACATTGTTGAGGGGGCAATACTAAACACTTTGAAAGATAAAAGAGATCTTAGAAAGTAAGGCTCCTGTTTTTTTAATTTGATATTCAGAACATACACTAAAAGCCAAAGAACACATTTTGGAATAAAATTAAACACACCAAATATGATGTCCAGTATAGAATTTTATGCATTCAGAAAAGACAAAAGAAACAGAAGGCCCAGTGAAAACTACACTGGGTTGGATAAAATGAGAAAAGGGACAGGTGGCCTTGGGCATTTAGAAATAATACAAAAGGCAACCACCATCAGTTCTTGAACCGGGAATCAAAACACAGTCCCTTATATAAAAGGTTATTTTCTCAGAGTACTTCGGTATTAAGTTAAGTTAGGAGATTGCTGAAATAAGTCAAAAAGGGCCCACATAATAAATAACTGCCAGAAAATATAACTGAAAGCTAACAAGCCAGTTACATAAACATCCATTGGGTCACTGTGTATTATCAAACAGATATACTCCCAGGAAAAATGAAGATAGGAGTTGGTGAAAGGTGTAACACATTTAAACAGGCTAAAGGTCGGGGAGTGGCTGCTAGAGCTTCATCCTGATGGCGTTTCATCTTCAGCATTCTGGCCTTATTCAATAAAAGTGTACAAAAAGAACAAAACATTTATCAAATCTCTCTTAGGTCCAACTGGCCCTTTGGAAGATGAAGTTATACAAATAAACAATCATCAGTATTTTTTTCTATTCATACACTCCTCGAACACATAGGTGAAGTCAATTCCAAGGATAGTTTTTCACTGCGTTGTTCTTGTTTATGTTTCACAATAATGCTTTATGGTAACTCACCTACTGTTAATCATCTATTTTATGTGAAGCAAAATTGGTTGCTCCAGTAGCACTTTATTCATAACTCTACAACACTTCCCGTGGTAATGGTAATTTACCAACTTATACCTTCACAAGACTATAAGCTTCTTGAAGTCAAGGACTGCTATCATTTCATTGCTAGTATTGAGCCTGGCATATAAAATAAATGTCAATAAATTAATGCTTCTGATGTAGATATCTTCTGTGAGATTATCAAAGATGAATCCTTTTAGAGTTGGACTTAAACATCACTCCAATGAATTCTAGATGGCTCTGATAGTTTTCTGAAGGTTCTCTATATCCTTTTTTGAGTACTTTAGGTTTTACCGAATAAGATAAATATCAGAAGTGAAGGTGATGAAAAAAACTAAAGAGCAAAACCAAGAAATGACAATTGTTAGAATTAAATGAGTTACATTTCAAGTAATTTTCAAGGAAATTAAATAATTTAGATATATGATAAGGAAGAAGAAAATAGAATCATACAAAAATAGAGTTTATGAATCTGGATGAAAGCATGTCAAAATTTCTAATGCCATTTATACATCTGAATGGATAGGAGCTGCAGAGATATAAATTCAAAATATAAACTAAAAGTTGTCTTATTGGAGTAATAAATTACTATTACATAATAAAATAACATTTGATAAGCACCTATCAGACATCTCACTTTATAAGTTATTATACAAAAATAATTTGATGCATTTAAATACTGAGATTTTATAAAGCCTTGCAGAGGATGTATAACACTAAATATAGATGTTAAATACAAGGTTAAGAATAGCATTATGGAACATATCAAAAATAACCACATTTCTAAGACGTAGACTGGACCAAATAATGCATGATGCAGAAAGCAATTTTGCTTTCCCAAACCAATTCTAAAGAGCTTTATGGAAAATATCAGGAGATATACTTAAAATAGGCAAGAACAATAAGGCAGGGAAAGAGAGACTGCTCAACGTACATGGCACAGCTTGGCAGGGCACCCAGAAGGAAATCTGGGATGATGTAGCAAAGGAAGGAAACTTGAAATAAACAAAAGATTGGCTAAAACCCTGGAGGCAACAGGGTGTGAAGTGTTTTAGGGTTTTTTGATAAAGAGCTTTAGAGCGGAAGGTGGCATTCTCTAGTATGAAGAAAAGTGAGTGTCTTCTTAGGATTTTCAACCTTATGGAGAACAAAAATCTCTCTTTCTGGTGAGGTAAGACCTAGTCAGCATGCAATAATTTTTAAACATGGAATTTTTCATTTTGGTGCATATTTTTACATTATTATATCAAAGTATTAAAGATCATACCAATGTCACTGAAACTGAAATTTTTCAGCATGCAATAATTTTTAAACATGGAATTTTTCATTTTGGTGCATATTTTTACATTATTATATCAAAGTATTAAAGATCATACCATAAGATTCCCAAATGGCCACATTTGGGGATACTAATGGGATTAGTCTCACAGAGGAAAACAATAGCAGTTAATATTATTATTTGCTATGGCATTTAGTCACATTGCATCTTAGATTACCTAAATGTTTTCCTTTGGTTTGTCTCCCTAGGTAGACTATAAATTTCTGGAAAGTAGTCCTACTCCCTGTACCTAAAGTAGTCCTGTGGATTCTACCACATACATGTACAAGAGTATTTCAAAAAGTTTATAGAAAAATAGGACTAAAAGATAATACAAATCTTTCCACACACCTTTTGAAGTATCCTTGTTCTGTAGTCATCCTCTTTTCTCTAGTCCTTTGAGCAGTGACCTCATTTTTCTCTTATATAGACTATTACAATAACCTTTTATTTGAATTTGGATAAAAGCACGTCAAAAATCTTACAATATAGCTAGGGAGATATGAAAAACCACAAGGAAACATTTACATAATACCAGATGTTGTACAAAACAGATAATAAAAGTAAAAATAACTTATCTTTTTCCTTGAATACTAACATTTACTTTATAGCTCTCCCCCCACTTCTACCACCTAAACTTATATATTCTGACTTTTAAATCTATTAAATTACACACACACACACACACACACACACACTGCAAACACAGATAGAGTGACAGAGGAGCCAATGTTATATGTAAATGCAGGGTCTTAAGTTTTGTTTTGCTTTTTAAAATTATTAATAGACTACATGGAAGTTACAACAAAGTGCAAAATTTTAAGAACCCATGAGTAGGTTGTATAGAAATACCATGCTTTACACATGCCTAATGAAGTGTGATAAAGTCCAATAAAAGTGTGATGTTGCAGAGTGGGAAGAGGAGAGAAACACCAGATAAACCAGAAAATGAGAGTTAGAAAAAAGAAGGAATGCTTTGTAGGTACGTAGGGAAATTTGAGAGCAAAGAGGGAAAGGGTGGAGCAGCCCTTAAGGGTGAAGACCCCTGACCGAGAGTCCCAGGACTTCAGGGAACTAAGAGTCAGCAGTGGGCTTAATCCAGAGATGAGCAGAGATGAGGTGCTGAGTGGTCTAAGTCACAGGCATAAAGAAGAGGCTAAAAGGAAACAGGAAGAAAAATACTGTTTGGGAGGGGGCCAGAAAAAGGGCTGGAAATGGTGATGGGAATATCTTTTGTATACTTGGAGGCAGGATAAGTCTGAAGAACAATATACTGAGTCAAGGTTAGGAAGGGACACTATCATAGATAAAGAGATTATTTATAACAGGGCCTCTTAAACTTTAATGTGCAGTGGATCACATGGGGATATTGTTAAAACGCAGGTTGTAATTCAGTAAGGCTTGGGTGGAGCCCAAGAGCCGGGATCTAACAAGCTTCCAGGTAAAGCTTTGCAGCTTTGAGTAGCAAGGATTTACAGTATTAAACAAGAACACTTAAAGCATTTTTATAAAATGAATAAACCAACGAATTTTTGCTTTCCAATACAGATATCTTCTGTGGGTTTATCAAATATTTTAGTTAGGAAATTATCCTCCCTTTTACCCTTAGTTGATGGCAATGAAGAGATAATCTGAGATCAAAGGAAGGAATACAGTGTCCCAATTCAAACCAAAATAACATATTTGAGCGCATAATCATTCTTACATGTCTACATTAATAACAGAATAACTATCAGTGTTATTTAAGCAACATATCTGCACTTTAAAATGTCCAAGAAAACTTCCTATGATAATAGAAATGTTTTATATCTGGACTGTCCAATATGGTAGCTAATAATTACTTACAACTATTGAGCACTTGAAATATGGCTAGTACACTTGAGGAATAAATAGCCATGTATGGGTAGTGGCTACCATGATCATCAATGACTGCTAGCATCACCCAAAGACAACCAGTTTATTCAGTTCCTGATTGCTGTAGTCTTCCTATCAAGGCTCTAAACTTAGCTACCAATTTACAAAAGAGACCCAGAGGTCTCCATACCCAACTCTGACACTGATAGCATAAGGGAACTTAGGTACCTGAGATCCACAGAAGGCAGCTAATAACAGCCAAGGAATTTAATCTTCCCTTTATCTAAAAGCAGGGTTCTCTTGCCAAAACATCATCCAAAGTAATAATAACCTGAAATAGAAAGTATATCCCACCAGGATCTCATCTTTAAGGAATTATATATAATATTAACACACACACACACACACACACACACACACACACACACACACACAGGTTTTTGAAGGAGATGATTTGGGTTTGAGCTCTATCCATGCCTTTACTACTGTGTAATCTCTGGCAATCCATCTAACCACTCTTATCTTCAGTTCCCAAATCTCTCTGTAAATTGGAGTTGACTAAGCAAGGGTATTAGGAAAGTAATTTCCTGAAAGGCATCATAAATTATAAAGTCCTATGCAATGGTTAATTATTACTCACTAAAAGGGAAATAAATGCTATATTTAAATCAAAATCCAAGGAACTGCCTGAAATTTTTCATTGTACTAAATTTGCATTGCATACACATAGCCTTGGAAATCTTCTGTGATGCATATTTCAGTTGCTCATATTTGTTGTAATGGGATATAATCATTAAAGAATGAGCATGCCAAAACCATTTGGGAGAATGATGGTAAGGGAGGAGTGCTTTATTTAGTAATGTGGGGTCTGGTAAGCATCCTCCCTGCTAAGATTGTACTGAAAATAAAGGAAATCACAGACTGCTCATTTCCCTTGTACTCGTAACTTGTGGAAACTTCCTGTAAAAGGCAGTTATAGCATTAAAAGTAAACTGATTTCACATCCACCGGATACTACCAAACCAACAATTGCAGTCCTTAGGGAGAAAAAGAAAATAGCACACTTATCCTTTATACTTTGTATTAGTTTGGAAGAACATGGAAACCCTAGTGATGGAGAAACAGACTCATGCCAGAGGCAAGGAAACTATTTAGAAACATGGTTACCATTTAGTAATTCCACAGAGAGGCAGAGCTCCTTAGCCAAGAGACTGGTTACACTATAAAAAAAGAAAGAAAAAAAAATCATTCATTAAACAAAGTACAGCAGGAAAATAGAGAGTTCCCTTTGATCTAGGCACATATTAACTACAATTTTAAAGTACAAAATTTTAATAACATCTGCTAAAGAGTAATGTTAAGGGTAATTTTAGAAATGGAAGTATGCATGTGTATTTTATGTACTATTAGAACCTCAAATGTTGGTGCTGCTGTCTCCTCTTTTGGTTTCTCAAGTGTACAAATATCTGCTGAGAGCTTATAGTGCACCGAAGATTATGTGAAATGCTGAACTGCAGTGGTATTCAAGTCACTATAAGAAGCCAGAGGGATTCCTGATTTCCACCATGGTGTCAGTCAATACAGCTCCATTTTATACACAGACAAGGCCAAAGTCTTTCACTTGAAAAACTTCTATCACTTAAAACCACTGCTAAAGAGAACACCAAAAGAAATAAAAATAAAAAAATAAAATGCAGCCTCTGCCTTCAAGTCACTTCAAATTTAACTGGGAAAACAAACATAAACTCATAATTAGCAACAACAACAACAAAAAAGATAATTATCAATATAAGTGTAACAGTAAAGGCAAAAATAAAAGTATCTAAGAAGACAAATTCTGAGTTCATGAGAAAGATAACCACCACGGACAGAGTAGTGTGGAAAGAGGGAGAAAGCCTTGAGTTGGAGAGTACATGCTATCTGCTAGTGCCTCAGTGAGGCCAGAGAAGACAGTCCACCTTTTGCTGTCCTTGTGAACCCTGATCTGATACCTACTTGGAACTCAGAATCCACTTGTACCTTTCTAACTTTGATGATATCCTACACTGGAAATAGCTTGGCAATTATGCTGTTGCTCCTCCCTCTCTCCCTCTTTGGCCCATGGATGTTAAGGATAATTAATCATCTCTAACAAGTCGTTAAGTGGCTGTGGCTAATACCCCAAGCTGAGGACAACAGTATACAGGGTCACCTGTGAAAACCAGCTATTGTGATCAGCCTCTTTCTCACCTGAGAAAACACAATGGAGCAAATCCTCTTGCTGAGCCCTGGCATGGCCATAGAATCCTTCTTGACAAGGAACAACTGAATGGAATTGGAGCTGAAGATGAAACTGTGATCTGGCTGGTTCCACCTGCCCCAGGTGAACTATCCCCTCTGGCCTTGACCAGTATCTACCTAAGCCTGTGATGTACCTTTGGCCACGCTTTTCTTGTGTGTTTGGCTGCAATAGAAATTTCAATTAGGTATGTGTTGGGAGACAAAAGCAGTTGCAAGGAAAGGGGGAGAAGACTGAAAGACTAAAAAGGGCTAAGCAGCTGGCATATTCTAAAAAAGCAGATTTGCTGGCCCCATTACAGACTTACTGAGCATAATCTCTGGGGTGGAGCCTAGGAATCTGCATTTTAAAGAAGTACTTGCAGAGTATTTAAAACAATCATGAATATGGACAATTACAAATACTGCTCATCATCAATCCACAACCAATTTTATTTCATCTATACCCTGACCCACTTCACCCTACTCCTCACCCCACTGGATTATTTTGAAGTGAATCTCATGTGTTATATCATTTCATCTGTAAATATTTCAGTATGTATGAGGGTACTTCAAAAAGCTCATGGAAAAATGGAATTGAAAAACAATACAATCCTTCCATGAAGTTTTTAAAGTACCTTCGTATCACTGAAAGATCAGGATTTTTTAAAAATACCATAACCATAAACCAGTACTTTAAAAAAATTCCTTATTCTCATTAAGTCTACAATTAAGGTTTAAATTTCTCCAATTGTTCCAAATTTTAAAATATTTGTTCAAATCAGGATCCAAATAAGGTCTCACACATTGTCTTTGGTTGCTATGTCTCTTATACCTCTGAAGGTCCAGACACTGGGACAGACCAGTTGAGGCCTCTTGAGTTTAGGGTAGTTGCTGATTGAAAGTCAGACTAGGTGACCCCTGGGCTCTGAGCCTCATTGTAGGACCATTTCTGACTGTTTCAGAGTAGAAGACTCAGAGCCTTGCCCATACCAAAGCAATTTTTTTTAAAGTTTGTAAAATCTTCAACAACTGGGTGAGAGAACTACAAATGCACTGTTAAAGAGAAGGGTACAAAAGTGTCCTACGAATGTCACGGGGACCACCAAAGGCAGTGAATGGTTTGGTGACTGTGTCTTGGTCATGTGGTTGGGAACAATCTGAAAAGCATTAATTTGGGCTGTGAATCACATCTTGCCCCTTTGGGTAAGCCATTTGTGTGAAAGTGGCCAGCATAGTTCCTGGCACATGACAACCAAGATGGATTTCATATCTTCTCCCAAAGCTTGTATTGATATTTTCCCAGATGCCCTAGAACCTAAAACAGATGCAAATCTTCAAAAAAGAAAGAGGCCTTTGCAAGTGACCAACTTTCTATGTACTTAATCATAATAACTGTGATAGTATCATTTATTGATGACTTACTGTGCACCAGGTCATGGTCCACAGAAGATACATGGTACACAGAAGATAACCCAGAGTTATTGGTTGAATAAATGGATAAGAATACTGAATGCTTTACCTTTAACCTTCAGAGCAACTGCCCTTACTTTGCCATAGAGTTTATTATCTGTTTGGCAAAAAAAAATAGTAAGAGCTAGGACTTATTGAGCTCTTACTGTGAATTCTTAATCTGTTCTATGTGCTTTATATATATTATTTATTATCTCATTAATCAGTGCAACGCCTTTATGAGTTAGGTACCATTATCCCCATTTTACAGAGTTTAACTAACTTGCCTAAGAACACAGATTATAACTGATAGGTCTTGACTCAAAACAGAGCAAAGTGGTTAGGGGTAGTACTGGAAGTAGTAGAGACCAGTACCAACACTCCCAGTTACAGGTTCTTGGCAAGAACAAGTTTAAAGCGACAGGTTTAAAAGTCACGAATGACCATCGCATCTACTTCCATCACCAACACTGCTCCTTCCTTGCTATGGTAAGAGCAATGCTGCTGCCGATGCAGGAAGCAAGATACATAAAGAAACCTCAGAAATCAACGGAATTTCTTTAGGAACATTGACTGGTTTAGCTCCTTCATTCATTCATTGAACAAGTGTTAAAAACCTACTGTGTGCAAAACACTGTTAACAGGTTAGTGTATGCACTCATCCCGAGAATAGCAATCCTGAAGCTTCCTAGAGATGGATGGCAGAAGAGCAGTTTGAGATTGTTTGGAAGGTTCCCCCACTTTCTTCTTCCTCAGGAACTGTTTTACTCCTCAATGTGGCACGGGCAGCAACCTTCATTCTCAGGTCCAACAAACCTGGGAATGTAGACAAACGCATTGCGCACAGTGCTAGACTGATTCCTGGGGAGATGCGTCAGGAACTTGGGAGCGCTTGGGATTCAGTTCCCCAGGCCAGAGCATGTATAGGCTGGATTTCTAGGTAGAAAAGAAATAATAGAATTTGCAGATCCAGGAGCTCGGAATCCTCTGGTCGGACAGACTCTAGGCTCCTACCCGCAACCCCAGCAGGTTTCTGTACAAAAGCCTTTTGAGATGAATGTATACATTGTCCTCTAACAATGCAAACGTGACAGCTGTCTATCCAAGAATCGCTCCGCCTCAGTTCGGAGCAGTTCTTGCCACAGAGGCATCTCCTGCGCTATAGTTATGCAACCACGCTCGCAGCGGGAGTTATTTCCTGTGCTTCTGGCCGCGCCAGATTCATGTAACACGCCTACCCTGGGCTTCAATGGAAGTCGTTCTCCATTAACAACCACTCCGGCTTTTGGAGATGAATGCCCTGTACAGCATAACCCTTGCTCAGTAAGAATACGGGCAGCGAGGTTTTAAAATCTCCTCTCTTTTCTGAAACACACAAACACTCTCTCTCTCCCCCCCAACCCCCACTCCTGTAGTGCATGCAGCTAGGGGACTGCAGCAATGCAACCAGAGGAACAGTAGGCGGAGCTCTCTTTGCACAGTCCTTGCCTCTAACCTCCAGTAACTAAAGATGAACTCATGCCAGTTCCATTTTTTGCAAGAAGAACACACACACACACGACAGAACAGAGGCGCCTCCAGATATCCCTCCTTGGCATACAGTCCTCCTAGCCTTCTAGTCCAAGCAACCCGGATATTCCACAGCAAGTAACTGGAAGTAACACGCCGCAACAATGCAACCTCCCCAGCAGCTCGCCTTGCAGCTCACACCCCCGCCCCCTTTCACAGCGTGCCAAGAGTTTGGAGCGCGCGCACGCACACCGAGCACGGTGCAGTGCATATCCCTCCGCCTCCCTCCTCCTTTCCCCGCTCAAGTGGCTCGACAACGATTTGGGAAATGAAGGAAGGAGGGAACTACTTTCCTGAAACTTGCTATGCTGCACACGACTTCCAGTTGCAGTGATTCGCCCGGAGGCCGCAGCTCTTAGTCCTCCTGCCCACACGCCCTCACAGCCCGGGCACCTCGCTCGGCAACCCTACCCCGCCTCCGCTCTGGCCTCCGGGAGAAGCAAGCGGCCGGGAGAAGTCGCGAGGGACTACTTCGCCTCCTTCTCCCGCGGGCGCCCCCGGTTCGGGCAGCGGCGGCGGAAGGAGCGGGCGGCGTGAGCGCTTCCGCCGCCCCCCTCGCGGCTCCCCTCTCGCGGGCGTTAGGAGCTGCCCCGCCGAGCTGTCGGTGGGCACGGGCTGGTGGGGGACCCGCGGCAGCTGTCCTCTCCCGCCTCTGCTCGGGACTCTGCCGCCCGGCCCGCCCGCTCTTCTCCGCCCCGGGTGGGAGCCATCGGCTCGCCTGCCCCTCGCCTCACACGCTGCCCGCCGCCCCCCTCCTCCCCCTTCAGGAGGAGTCCCGGCTGGAGCGTGTCTGGAGGAATCCGCCGCCGCGGG